CAAATTTGATGTCGCGCAATCGCCGCGCGAGTAGCACAATGCCTGTAGCATGTGTTGGTGAGTGCACATCAAGGAGTTTCCTCCATGCCTTGGGTCCACACTCGGCATCACCCAATAGGCCTTTGATATGGTCAAGTTGGCGTCCACCAACCGCTTGGACCATGAGCATGTACGCATCAAATGAGCGCTTTATCCATGCTCCTTTCAAGTCCATGGCCTCTGGCATCTTTTCCTTTCCTTCCACCACATCCAATAACTTGTATTGGGTAAACATGAGCCTCATACGGAAGCTCCAGTGCTCATAATCCTCCCCCATGAACTTCTCAATAGAGAAGAGTTTCATAGGATCCACAGATATAGAAGATGGTGTAGTGGAAGAGGGTAGCACAGGGGTAGTTGGTTGGTGAGTACCCACTCCACCACCAACTACTCTCCCTTGCTCTCCAGCCTCTCCACTCCCAGCTATCTCATCATTAGCACCTCTGGAGTCCATCTCAGCCATCACAAGGCCTTAGGTACAGTGGAATCTTGAGGAAAACGCTTGGACAGAATTCTGCCAGAAATTTTTCTTTTACGAAAAACGCCGTCGCGGTAAGTACACTTCGAATTAGGACGCAATTTGACCACCAATCGAAAGATCGTGAGCAGAGCTACATTAAAATGGTCTCACTTGTCAAAATTGGTTGAGAATCAAAGACGATTCGTTGCTTCAAAGTCGATCACCAGCTCTGATACCACTTGTTGCTTAGGATCCGGTCACTTTGTAGACTTACGACGAACTGAAATCTCAACTAAACGCAAATCCGCTTGGTATAATTGCGCGCGCCGGTCTTAGCTACCATTAGCAAGTTGAATCACTTGATTTCATGGTCTAGGGAGTGAGGACCACTTGAAAACGTATAGCTGCTGCTTTTACTAGAAAAAGGATGGAGGAAGAACAAACATTAGGAATAGAATAAGGAGTTGGGGGGTTTCAAGAGAACCTTGTGAGGGAAGGCTCTCCAAATGCTTGGGAAGGATGGTGGGAACCTTCCTAGCATCAAAGATGCAACCCTCATGATGAGGTCCAAGGTCGACCAAGTAACCAGGGCGACAAGGTCTGTGGAGTGCGCGATAGTCGCCTAGGTGGTTCTGGCAAAGCCGACCTTGGAGGTGGTATCCCGAGGTCGACATGGCGAATTAGGTGCAGTCGTGGGCACGTGGTCGGCTCAGCATCTGCGTTGTGCACATGACGTGGCACAGCATGCCAGCTAGCTGCGAGCACCGGCAAAGTGGGTGTGCTGCTGTCAACGATGTGCAACCGTCTTGCTGCAGCGTTGGCACGCCGTCGAATTGCAACGTTGGCAAGCCGCCCTTTTGCAGCGCTGGCGCAACGCGGATTTTGCCGCGCTGGAACGCGGTCGACCATGCTGGGCTGGAGGTCGACCTGCATGCTTGCTAGCACCTGATGTAGTCCATTGTTGCTTTGCTTGTACACCCATTGTTCTCAAATTTGGTTAGAGACACTCTTGTGGTTTTGCCCCGTGAATGCACAAGGGCTAGAGAACACTAAGGAAAACACTATGATCACTCCCACAACTGTGCCTGGTAGTTATCTCCGCAGTGCTGACGAACGTGCCAGATGCTCCATGTCAACCTCAAAATACCAGCCCCCATGTCAATTTCGCGAAAGCCCGCAAATGTGAATCTCACCCTTCTGCCAGATTTCGCAGCCGACAACCAGTTCAACGCTGCTCTGCTGAGCAATGCCTCTCAACAGGCTCGTCGACCAGGTCCTGTCGAGCAAAGCCTTTTCGACCACCACTTTTGTACACATATATATCCAATCCTGATGGGAAGAAAACTTGGTAAGAATATTTCTTTACTTGCGTGATGCTTGGAATGAGAAGAGCTGAGAAGAGAGAAGCATTAGGATACACGTAACCATCTCCAAAATTGTCCATATCTTGATACAATGAGATACACGGAAACATGCTCTCTTCCTAAGTGCCTATCAGCCAGGCCTAGCCTACATTAGCTCCCTAATAGGCTCCAACAAGGTGAAGCAGTCCCTAGGGGACAGAGCCGTGTGTGGTCCTCATTAAGGTGGGTTTTTTTCTTGTGCGCCAAGATAGGATTTTGCGAGAAAGCCCATCCCCTGCTCTCTCTTTACTGCTACCAACCACACACCAGAGGAGCAGTTTTGCTGATTGAAATGTTGACGGGTCGTCACTGAAGAGATGACATGAATCTCGATCTGCCTATATCTTCAAAGAGGTCAGCACTCCAGCACAACGGCAGTTGTCATCTTTATGGCAAGGAGGATGAAACCTTGCACATGCAGTTAAGGGTTGGAGTCCTGAACTTGCAATCATCCATTCAAAATAAATGGGTTCGAGATGAGTAGTTCAGTTTTGAGGCAATACGACTAAAGCATTAGGATATCCACATAACCATCTCCAAAATTGGCAAAATTTCACCCAATAAGGGTACATTCGGGCCTTGACGCGTCACAAAAGTTTGTGTCAAAATCCCTTTGACAGCTCAGCACCAAACTAAACCCAAGTTAAAAAAAAATGAATAGTGTCCGATACTTGGGTGTAATTCGGTGCAGTTCAGTATACAGCGATACACTCGATTTGGACGCGTACTTTTGTGACGCGTCAAATGGCTGGATCAAGATTACTATCAGCAAACTTTTAGAAGCATGCAAATGATCCTCAATTTATTAGTAATACTCAAATAATAGACAACTGTACCGACTTATATGGACAGGGTGCAATGTAGGATGACAGACTGCCTGCCATCTTCCAACAAAAGCAACCTTGAATACACTAGTCAAGAGAGATTACATGGAGATCAAACCCCTACTAAAATACAAAACACTGGACTAGGGAACGCAAATAAAATCTAGACCTACAGTTCACGAGCATGTCTTTCCATTGTAATAACTGAAACTTGTGACTGCTCCTGGATTAGCTCCACCGTAGAAGCTTAAAGCTCCCCCAGATGTCAGTGATGGTGACACTTGCTTGAGCCTGCCCTTCTTGCAGCTATGTGCACTCAAGGACTCGTAGTCTGCCTTGAGGCAAACCTGGCATAGACGTTTCATACATAGTGTGGACACAAGAACAAAGGAAAAATACAATAAAAAAAAACAGAAAGAAGGAAACATGCAATTACACTTCTCTCGTTCTCCAAACCTCACCTGCACGCTGTTCACACTGGCAACAGTGTCGCTGGACGTAGGAATTGTGCGGGGATAGACGAGGCCGCGATTGTTCCGGTAGAGCTCAATCCAGCTGTCTGCAGTCACTGCTATCGGCCCCTCAGGTTCTTCCTCACTAGACTCCAAGGCCTGCTGCAGCAGGCCCTCACACGTGTCCTGTGCTGTGAGCATGTCGTACTGCAAGCACTTAGGGGTTGTGAAGGCGAAGGTGGCGTTGCGCTCGAGGCACAGAGAGTGGCCTGCCTTGATGGGCTCGGAACAGTCGAGGCTGGGATTGAGAGAGATAAGATAAGTCGATGAAATTCCAAGCTGGGTGCTGATAGACGAACAGCTGTCACCCTGGAGGAGCTAGAGGGCTAGAGAGAAATCAGAGGAGGGCTTGTTGAAGGGAAACAGCACAGTGAGACAACGGCTTGCAAGAAAATGCTGCTGCTCATTGCAGGTGGGTTGTGTGTTGATGGTCGCGGATGGATGGTAAAAGGGTGTCCTTTCGTGCATCATTTTATACAGATACGTGGACTTAGAGAAAAAGAAATATAAATAAAAAGCACATCTTTCGCTAGCTGAATCTCCTTTTGAAAACCAGGGCTCACATTGATTGTATAGAGTACAGGGGGTGCTGGTATTGCTGCCCAACTGAATAACTTTGCCTTTGGACAGTGGTTGGCTGCAGTCCACGGCCTGCAATACATAGGAGGGGTTCCATGTTGGATGTAAATGTGTGGTACTATTCAATCACACATCGTACGAATGAGAAAATGCTGGGACCCGCTGGGGTTGTGCCGAGCATGTGAGACATTTGGGCCATGGCCTGAGCAACAAGGATAAGCCATTGGCATCCACCTCATTCGTGACTCAGTCAAAGCCTGATGACAAATCAGAGACAGCTAACATCCAATCTGATGTCTAGGACATCCTTGTTGGATGTAAATGTCTGCTACTATCCAATCGCACATCCTATGAACTGGCTGGGGTAGTGCCGAGAATGTGAGAAAATTGGGCCACGGTCTGAGAAACAAGGACAGGCTATCTGTGGCCCGACCAATGAGGAGAGGCCCCTTGCAGCCACCCTGTTCGTGACTCAGACAAGGCCTGAGGACAACTGAGAGACACCTAACATCCAATTCGATGGCTAGGATAGAAGGCAGGTAGAGAGACCTGAACGATGGGTTGCTGGAGTCGGAACTCGTAAAAAAATCAAACTTCCATGAAAGAAAGTGACACACCAGGACTACGGGGCTTGGCCTGGGGCCAGCCCACAATGGTCTGAATTGTCAGATATGTTGGCCCAGCCCGTTGGAAACCAGGGCTGGCTTTAGATGTGCCGGCTCGGCTCCTGGCCTGGCTCACGTTGATTCCTTCTACGTCTCCATATTCAACCTCCTACTACCATAACCATTTCCCCGCAGTGTTAAAAGTAGTTTTTTGGATGGTATGCCCTTCGGAGAAGATATTTGTTTTTGGAGAAATCCTTTTCACTTAGAGGATGGTACCGGCTGGTATACATACTTACTTTGAATTATTCCCCAGATTCTCTGGTATTTTCTCAAATAAAGGCAAGTCCACATAATAGGATGAAGGGTCAGCGTTCTCTCACCACGGTTTGCTGTGGCAAGCTGGCCAAGGAAAGACCGGTCACAGGAAGGACGTCGGAGCACCACCAGTTAGCACCAGTGACCGTCAAAGTAGTTGCTGTGGTGTTGGCTGGAGGGGCAAAAGAAGGAGACACGCACAGAGTAGATGGTACCAAGAAAAGTGCACATGAGGTTATCTGAAGCTTGGTGATGCTACAATGAAAGATGCTCTCCACACGCCACCATCTTCACTTCCTTCTCCCGTCGCCTCCACTTCCCCCTCCCGTCGCCTCCACATCCCCCTCCCATCGCCTCCACTTCCCCCTCCCGTCGCCTCCACTTCCCCCTCCCATCGCCTCAACTTCCCCCTCCCGTCCCCTCATCTTCCCCCTCCCGTTGCCTCCACAACCCCCTCCCGTCGCCTCCACAACCCCCTCCGGTCGCCTCCACTTCCCCCTCCCGTCGCCTCCACTTCCCCCTCCCGTCGCATCCACTTCCCCCTCCCGTCACCTCCACTTCCCCCCTCACCTTCCCCCTCCCGTCACCTCACCTTCCCCCTCCCGTCGCCTCCACTTCCCCCTCCTGTCGCCTCCTCTTCCCCCCTCCTTTCGCCTTCACTTTCCCGTCCCTTCGACTTCACTTCCCCCTCCCGCCGCCTCCACTCCCCCCCCCCCCCCCCCCCACGTCGCCTCCGCTTCCCCCCACCCCCATCGCCTCCGCTTCCCCCCCCCCCGTCCCCCCCCCCGTCACCTCCACTTCCCCCTCCCGTCGCCTTCACTTCCTGCTCACTCTCTTCACCCCATTTCCCCCCTTATCACTCTCTTTCCCCCTCTGCTCACCATTGTTTTCCCGGCTCACTTCCATGCCCACTCTCTCCCCCCCTGCTCACTCTCATTATCCCCCCCCGCTCACTCTCTTTCCCCCTGCTCACTCTCCTCCCCCCAGCTCCCTCTCTCCCCCCTACATTCCCCTGCTCACTCCCTTGCCGCCCTGCTCACTATTTTCCCCTCTGCTCAATCCCACTCCCCCTAAGTGGTCTATTTCCCCTCCTTAACCCTTGCTTACTTGCTTTCCCCTATGCTCACCCCCTTCTCCACCCTGCCCACTCCCTTTTTCCCGTTGCTCACCCCCTTCTCCACCCTGCTCACTCTCTTTCCCCCACTAAAACTCTCCCTTTCCCCCACTCCACCTCGTCCTTCCCCGCCCTCCCCTTGCATTTCCACCACTCCCACCCGTCCAATCCCCCACTCCCCCCCGTCCAATCCCCCACATCCCCGATCCAATCCCCCACTTCCCCCCCTCCAATCCCCCACTTCCCCCCCTCCAATCCCCCACTTCTCCCCCTCCAATCCCCCACTCCCCCCCCTCCAATCCCCCACTTCCCCCCCTCCAATCCCCCACTTCCCCCCCTCCGATTCCCCACTTCCCCTGAAGTTGCTTTCCCCACTCCAATAGGGCCACATAGCAATTCTGACCGTGCATGCCCTCCGCTCCCCTCTCCTATCGTTGTGTGACTCATTTCATCGTCCCTTCCCCCTACTACCCCTGTCATCCTCCCTTCCCCCTGCTACCTATCTCATCCTCCCTTCCCCCTACTACCACTGTCATCCTCCCTTCCCCCTACTACCACTGTCATCCTCCCTTCCCCCTACTACCCCTGTCATCCTCCATACCCCACCCCCACTCACCTCTCCTCCCTCCCTTTGCCCCCCACCAGGCACCCGCCATAGACTATCAGGGGGCTGGCATTTGGCGGGGCCTCGTGAGGTCCCCTCCCCTCCCTCTGTTTGCCACACCCCCCACTCCATACCATCCTGAATTGGCAGGAAGACAAAGGATACAGCTGCAGATGAGGCCAATCCAGTTGCGGGGCTTAGTGCCGAGCATGACAAGGCCACTCACGGTATATCCAAGCATATGCGCCCAGTCATATGCCTTCAACGCTGCGGATTGTCGGCACTGATGGGAGGCAAAACCGAGGCTACAACATCGGACGTGCTGTATTATTTCATGATGAATGCTCCAACCGCATATAAAAGGCTGATGCGGGCAGCCAAAGCCGCAGGTACATGGGAGAAGCGATTGTGGGAGGGACGAGAGATTTACGGTTGATTGTTGCAAGGATAACATAGGGCCCAGACCATACACATACGCCTCTGCCCATTCCTGTTGTCCAGGTGCACACGGGGGAGAAGCAGTAGCAACAGCGGAGCTGCACCTTGAGGCATACGGCCGACAGTTTGACGCACGGGCGAACAACGGCCCTAATGCAGTGACAGGGATAATTGGGAAAGAGGACCTCCAAATTGAGGGTCTTGTCTACAACTTCCCGGCCTACAAAGAGGACAAACGGGGCAAATTACGCCCAGTCGGTGGGGTTGGTTGGGGAGGGGCCCGAAAGGGCAAGGCCTATGAACGTGCGCGCACACAAGGTGAGAAAGGATCAGAAACTTGTAATTGGGTATATATCGTGTTGGACAAACGGATGTCGAGTCTGCATATACGAACGCGACTGCAAGTGCATGTATATTCTAATGTGTTTTGGGGATTACGTGTGTGCAGGGGTTGCCCAGTCATCCAAGACTGAAACAGAGGGCGTTGCACCCAGCCTGCAGCCAGAAACATGCACGATTGCTAGATCCGAAAGCAGCCAAGAGCACGCTGCACTCCATGAAGCCGGAGTACCAAATCCGGCCCAAAGGTGAGAGTGAGTAGATGGGGTTGTCGAATGAGTTGTAAAACCGGGGGTGGTATTGGTATCGCACTCCACATCCTCACCTGCACCATTTGCCGCTCTCCACATCCTCACCTGCACCACTTGCCGCACTCCACATCCTCGCCTGCACCACTTGCCGCACTCCACATCCTCGCCTGCACCACTTGCCGCACTCCACATCCTCGCCTGCACCACTTGCCGCACTCCACATCCTCACCTGCACCACTTGCCGCTCTCCACATCCTCACCTGCACCACTTGCCGCACTCCACATCCTCACCTGCACCACTTGCCGCACTCCACATCCTCACCTGCACCACTTGCCGCACTCCACATCCTCACCTGCACCACTTGCCGCACTCCACATCCTCACCTGCACCACTTGCCGCACTCCACATCCTCACCTGCACCACTTGCCGCACTCCACATCCCATGCGTGAGGTAGGGAGTGAGAGAGACGGGGTGGAGAAGGAAGGGAGCAGCAGGAAGAAAGGAGGGGGGAAGGAAGGGGGAAGGAAGGGGGAAGGATGAGAGAAGGAGCAGGGAACAATGGGAGAAGGAGGTGAGAAGGTGTGGGTGGTTGGTGTGGTCTAGGTGGTGGCTGGTGTGGTGTATATGACCTGTGATTGTGGTTGGTGTGATACGAATGACCTCTGGGTGTTTGTGGCGTGGTGTGAATGACCACCATGCTTGGTTGGAGTAGGGTAAACTTGCTGAAACTGGAGATCGTGCGTGCTGGAGTGGTGTGACTGACTTGAGAGTGGGGCGAGTGTGGACTGAGTTGGGTGCGTGTTTGCGCTGAGTTTTGGGCATGGATGAAGTGGTGGGTATAATGAGTTTTTGTCCACTCCCCATTGTTGCTTGAATGTGCTACTACCTCCAGGAATACTGATCAAGATGGGGCCTCCAAGGATACTCCAGTTTCTGTCCCGAGAGGGTGGCCACGTGCTCCATCCGTCAGGGATATGTCACCGTACATGGTATGTTTCTTGGAGCCAAGGTACATTCTAGAAGCATTAGCACCACTACGGATCAGTTGCACCAGAAAAGGCTGCGGCGGGAGCATGTTCCTCGTGTCATGGAAAACTACATGGGCTTCTCTTGGTCTTTATTGGCACTGTAGTACGTGCCCTAGCCGCACGGAGATATGGAATAGCCCCAAAAGAGAAAACGATCAGAATGGGAAGCGGACCGGGCCAAGGTCTATACAGCTTATGCAAAAGTTTGTGGGTGCCAAGTGATGTGAGAATTGTGTCGCAATCTTCGACTTCCAAATCCGGGAAGAGGAACATTTTACCGACTGTTGCAGGGTGAAAGGGTTTCTGGAAGGCCATCATTCGTGCAGCCCAAGAATCTATGGCATCAGTGCGTGATAGCCTGTCTAAGAGGGAAGAAGGGGTGGGATACATTAGTGTAGATGGTAGATTTTCACAAGCTCGTGAGGCTGAGTATTGCACTGTGTCATTTCTACATCCCGAGAGTAGGAAAATATTGCATACGGAGACTACGAAGAAGTATGTCAATGATCCATCGTCTCCTAGGCTAGAAAGCGTTGCTTTCAATTTTGGCATGGACTTCTTCAAGAATGTGGGGTTTGAAGTGGCTGGTATTGTTACGGATGAGGGTAGTACGTTTCGGACTGTTGCTGCGGACAGAGGGATTGGACACCAGCACGATTGGTGGCACAAAAGACGATCAGTGGTCAAGAGCTTTGAAAACGAATTGCAAAATCGTGTGAGGGGTGTGGTCGAAATTGATAAGGCGAAGGTTGTTGAGGACCTGCATATGCATATGGTCGTGAAGCTGCAGAAGAAGGCCCCAGGCAAGGTGGGTGGGTCCAACGGAAAAGACAAATAGATCGAGGACATTTGCTCTGAGCTCGGCATTGAGTACCGGTTTGTGGATCCGGCAGATGCAAAATGGGAAAATCCTGACTTGCAGCAGGTCGTGAGTGCAACAAACGTGCAAGGGGCTGGTCAAGATGTGGGGGAATTAGAGGAGCAGGATGATGAGGAGGCTGCAGACAAAGTGGACGTACCTGTTATGCTTTCGCTAACACATAGTCGAGGCATGGGCCGTCATCAGGATGGGCTGGAAGAGGGTGAGGATGCAGTAGCAATGCTTGAAGGACCGGTGTCGGTGGATGTTTCCTGGCCGGATGTGGAAGAATTATGGCAATATGACATCCACCCAGTGCATGGATTGCGACCATCATCTCAGGCGTCGTTGGTGGTCACACTTGCATGCAATGGTGCACGCGCCGAGGCGGATTTCATGGAGCGTGTGGCAGATATCTTACCTGGGACTGCCCATCAAACAGTGCGATTAGCACTCCTGCACCCACTCAAATTTTTGCCACTCACACAGCTCACTACCACCAATCTGCCCGACACACACTCATTACCACCAATCTGCCCCACACACACATCGTCATCACCACTCCAGCCTGTTCATAGTTCATCATCACCACTCCAGCCCCTCACACAGCTCATCTTCACCACTACTGCTCCACACATACCTCATTACCACCACTACTGCCCCACACTCACCTCATTACCACCACTACTGCCCCTCACTCACCTCATTACCACCACTACTGCCCCTCACAAAGCTCATAACCGTCCATTACTTCCCCACACTCACCTCATCACCACCAATCTGCCCCACACACACCTCTTTTCCACCACTCCAGCCCCTCACACAGCTTATATTCACCACTATTGCCCCACACATACCTCATTACCACCACTACTGCCCCACACACACCTCAATAAATCCACTACTGCCCCTTTTTCAGCTCATAACCGTCCATTACTTCCCCACACACACCTCATTACCACCACTCTGCCCCACACACACCTCATTACCACCACTACTGCCCCTCACAAAGCTCATAACCGTCCATTACTTCCCCACACTCACCTCATCACCACCACTCTGCCCCACACACCCCTCACTACCACCACTCCAGCCACACACAAACACTTCATTTCCACCACTCCAGCCCTGTTCATAGCTCATCATTTATGCGAATGGCAAGTGTGGTGTGCCCTAACACATCACACAATCAGCTGCCTATGCCCTGATGCTGTTACGTTTGGGACTTGCAGGAGAGCAAGCTGGCATCTCCACCATCAAGAGCAAGGAGCAGCGACGGTGGTCAAAACGTAGCTCAAAGAAGCGGGCACGTGGGGAAGGTACCATGCGATCCTTGCTGGAGAGAGCGATGGAAGCAAAAAGCCGGTGTTCACAGTTGGTCAACGCTTTAGTGTGCATTTCAAGCACTGCATGATGCGGAATGCCACCAAGGCCAGCGAGGGACACCCAATGACGCCAGAGCAGGTGTCTGAGGAGTTGGGGCTTGCTGCAGATCACTGGGCAGGTGACCATACTCGCTGCCGACGTGTGGGAACAACGCCGCCACGCTGTATTTCAGAAGGGTGGGGGAAGAGAGTGCTGTGTACGCTTTTGGATCACCAACCCACATGGCTGTTCGTGAATGGTTCAAAACACGGCTAGGGCCAGATCAGGTGGCATCATTGATTCTTGGCACAAACAGCTCACTGAACGAATCTTTCCACTCACTAGTATGCAAGTATGCACCCAAGCGGCTGCGGTTCAGAGGCAGCATGGAGGCTCACATAGCGTTGGCCGTGCTCCATTGGAACAGCTGCATGGACCGGCTCATAAAGGCATACCGCATCCGGGTGCGGAAATTGACGCGTGTGCAGAGGGGCCGA